TTATTAATCTATTTTAACTATTTATCTATTAAAATCAGATATCCAATAAATAAATAGATAAACAGTTAATGGATAGGCCTCTAGTAGTTGATTCTAGTTGTTACATGAATTTAGATAGATAAAAGATATACATATTAAGATATATAAAAAAGTTAAATATAAAATATTTTTATTTTATTTACGTGTATACAGCATCTCATAATTTTAAAAAAGGTGGATATTTTTATCCTATTTTTACAATGCATATAGTTATTAATTATTTAATTTTTTCATTTGCTAAAATGCGCCATAGGTATTAAGCACTATAGTTGCTATATATTAAAAATTAATAAGTACCTCACAGCAAAAGGGGGATGGGTCAAAAAAATTTTCAATAACTCGAAAAATTATCATAAAATTAGTTAGCGCTTAAGAGCAATTGTTAGCGTTTGGTGTTACGCTAAATTACTTATCTGGGAAATATTGCTTGTATTGATATTTAATTTAGGTAATTGATTTTCCTATAAGTTGCTTTATTTAGTAATTTTGAGGTTCACAAATTTTAACAAATTATACTTTATTGCGCTAGTGAATGCGCAAGGGCAGTGCATCGAAGCGTTGCGCAAGCTCAATTGCGCTCAAAATTTTTCTCGCTATCGAGCAATGGTTGTATTTATACGTACGTAAAAATGAATTAATATGATTAAAAAGGAAGAAATTCCTCAAAAACTGCATAAATAAAACACCATATGCCGAAATGAAAAACAATCGTAATCTTTCAACTACAAAAATAGTTAATAATGCCAATAAATCAAAAGTGAATGATAATTAACCCTCTTCTATCTTTCTTTATCGGCTTGTAGCAGATCGTTCCAATAAAGTATGGTTAGATATTAAACATCTTATTTATTGTTGTACGTATCTTACTCGTGATTTGCCACATCTCCTTTTTGATATAAACGGAAAGAATTTTCGTCAAAAAATTTTACATATCTTATTTATTATATGCTCTATATGAATAAAATGCGCAGGGTTATATTTGTAAGATTTTTTTAAGTCCAATGATTTTTGATTCCACAGTTAGGTGTATGCATCACTCTGTACTATGTAAACTTTATATCTAATATTGAAGTTGTGTACGTACGTACGTACGTACTTACATTCTAAAAATATAATATTTTAATAATAATTCTCAGTTCATTCCTGATTATAGCTATGAACATAATTAAACAATACATTCTTATGAGAATTTTATAATGTTTACTAAGTATATGTTAAACTTTATATTTGCTTTAATTGATTTTTTCTAGCGGATTGGAATTTTGGAATACCAGGTCATGCAAAACGACAAATTAACTTTGTGTGGCCTTATGCTAATTAAAATTTTAGATCTTTATGTCTCTAACCCTTTAAAATAAAATTATATGCATTAGACATCATGGGTGCATATTAGAGTTGGTACCCGAAACCTTTTTGGCCAAATCCGAAAGTTTCGGGTTTCAAATTATAGGTTCCGAAACCTTATCCGAAACCCGAAACCCAAAACCTTATCCGAAACCTACCCAAAACCTTTAATACCTATTTCAAAACCCTAAACTATTAAAATTTTAATTTAGTATAGTATACATAATTTAGATTTATTATGTATGGAAAAATTTATCAAATACAGATAATAATTAAACTGTAGAAAATTTAGATAATGAAGATGAATTATCATAAATGTTTTTATTCAAGATTTAGAAGATGAAGAAGTTTATGATCCAAATGAGATAGTATTAACCAATCATTTAGTTTGTTTTGATTCACATTAATCAAAACAAAACAAACAAACAGCGGTTGGTTGGAGTTAATTTAGGATTCGGCCAGGGCAATAGCTAAAAGATTCCTTAATCTAAAATTTAAGGAATTTTTTTGTACAAACTGACCAAATCCAACTAAATCGAAAAGAGCGATAATAAGTTCTGTAACAGAATGTTTTGCAGTAACTCATGATAAAATTAACGTAAACAGCGCAACCATAGCAACATACTATGAATCACTGAGATAACGAGTAATTTTTGTAACAAAACTGTTGACCATAGAGATTAGGCCCGTATAAGGATTACCCGGGTAACCGTATAAGCACTCTTAACCGGTTAGTAATTTTGTTAACCGGTTAACCCGGATAATAATAAGAAAAAAATAAAAATTAGAAAACAAAGATAAAACCGGTTTATAATATTGATCATGTGTTATCCGGCAATTCATGATCATAATTCTCAAGTCATGATTGGCTAACAAAGTTTAATTCGAATTGCTTTGTATGAAGCATGAATCCAATCTTTAATATTGCATTAGCCGGCTCTGATTTTTTATACAAGGCTCTATATAAGCATATACGTGTTATTAATCTCATACTTAAATTTTTTGTATTCAGAATTCCCCAAATACATACAGTATAAGACTGGTAAAATTAAAATGGCACAAGTGCCCACCTATAATTTTGCAAATACATACGTATGTACGTAAATAGCAGATTCAGTATTTTTTTTTGGTTATTATTTGCTGAAGACTAATTTTAGTAATGCCAAGAAACCTAAGCCATGCATGTCTTATTTGGATTATTCTTTCAGATTGACGTGAGGAACATACTGTAATCGCATGAATTAAACTGTTTTTGGTAGAAAAATTGTGCGAAGGCTATAAATAGGATATGTATATAAATTATCATTATTGAATTATGTTTTAAAAGTTAATAGGGTCAATTGAGAAGCATAATCGTATTTAAAGAGATGCAGATCAGAAAATCGTATGATCAATGAAGATGTAGGATTAATCATAATGATCATGTACCCAAAATCGATAGGGTTAACGTGAGAAGCATAATTTGGAAGGGCATGAATTAAAAGTGGGTGCCCTGAGAGATTGTAAAAAAATGGCCTGATGAATAATAAAAGGTAAGTAAAATAAAAATATAAGGGAGAGGGGCGATACATTGATCAGAATTGAGTAATTTTGGTATTGTTCAATTCGTCTTACTAAGACGTATCAAATAATATAATTTTTTTTGATTCTAATTACTAAATCAAAGGATATAAATAAAAGTCAGCATTACTTATGATAGAATTAAGTTTCTTTTAATTTTTTTAATTGCATAATTAAATTGTATTTAGAAGGGCATAAATTAAAAAATAGTCTGAAGAATCATAAGACTTAAATTGGTGTGAGGAGTTATAAGGGAAGAGTCGCATAATATTTAGATAATTGCACAATTTAATTGTATGTAGGAGAAAATAAATTAGATAAGTAGTTTGAAGAGTCATAAGATTTAGATTAGAGAAATTGGTATGAGGAATCATGAGAGAATAGTCGCATTTCGATAGTTGTAAAAAATATATTTAAGCTGTGTTTTTTTGACTTTAAGAATTCAGTTTTATAAAGATTTTATTTGAATTAAAATTATCATAATTGTAATTATTATATATTTAATAAATTTTACATAATTGACTTCCAAATTGATATTTAACAAATCATTTATTTCACACAATTACACAAATTATTTATAAATTTTATTGTTATATATACGTGCTTAAGAATGGATTCCCAAGGATCTAGCGCGAGCTTTCAAAAAAGTACATACATTGCTGAAAGCGACAGTGAAGATAATAACAATGATACATCTTCTAGTACAAATGTGCCAACCAATAAAGAAAAAAAAGTAGAAAAAGCTTCATATGGAAATACTTTGAAGTAATTAAAGATAAAGATGTTTGTAAAGTTATGGTAAAAAAACAAGGTATAGACCAAAAATGTGGAGCTGATTATATTCATGATGGTTCAATGTTGAATATAATCGCTCATTTAAGATCATCACATAATATCGTGGACAGCAAAAAATAAAATCAGAAATACAAAAAAGTCAACAAACTCAACAAACTACATTACCAGAGATATTTCACCTTAATGCTCCATATAAAGGCGATAAACTAAAAGAAATAAATAGAGCAGTTATTGAATGGATACTTCTTGATAATGAACTATTATCAGCACCAAGAAAAAAAGGATTCCACCACATGATGGCAAAAGTCGATCCAAAATTTCGTCCACCTTCTAGTAGAGTAGTAAGAAATGAAATTTCATTATGTTATTTAAAAAATATTGAAATTCTCAAACAAAAGATTACATGGGGTTGAGTCAACAGAAACCAAGCAAATTTTTTTTAGTAAGTTTTTTTAAAATTTTAAACAAGAATAACTTAACAAAAACTTGATCAAAT